CTTATTTTTTCCAGTGATTTTCTCACAGTTTTGTGTTTAGTAAGTCTTACTGTTTAAATAGCTATACAAGTAATATATGAATATGTCATCCTTGTAAAAAACTGTGACACTACCAGTAAGACTAAGTGCCTTTCGACTGCCACCCTCCACCCTGCACGCTTATCTTCCTCCTCGCAACCTACCCCCTCCCCACAGCAATCTTCACCCTATAGGTGGAGCCTTCCAAACCCTCTTTGGTATCTTTATTGTCTAAATATTTATGATGTTGTGTACCATGGAGTCAGATAGCTGACCCTCAGGCTGCTTTCAGAGGCAGTGGTAGGAGATTGTCCATTCTTCTGCGGATCAGCTGGTGGATTTGAATCTTCACAGATTCTTATGCATATTTGTTCATGTTAACAGAAGAGATAGCATGTACCTTGTTTAGGTGCAGTTTGCTTTGAGGGATGGTGATTTTTCAGTGATACAGCTTAGAGATTACTCATGTTAGAATAAATTTCAAAATCTTTTATGTTCCAAAGTAATAACTATTTTTATTTCGCTATTGTCTTATGGATTGCTATTTAAGATTTTCCAGATTTTTACACACAGTATTGGTATTTCCTCACTCTCACTACTCACTGCTATCATGTCAGAACTCAGAACTGACCCTCCAGTCGGTCTTCAAGAGGCTATAAACTGGACAGAAGGAAACTGTCCTTGTTTTTCCTTCAGAGCTATTTGTGGATTTGAACTACCAAAGGAACGTTGCTTGAGTAAGCAGTCCAGTTCCCTACAGACTATGCCACCAGGGCTCCCTAGTGTTTGCTTAGGTCAGTGGTTCTCAACAACTGACAGTGTTGCTTCCCAGGGAACATTTGGCAAAATCTAGATTCATTTTTGTATGTTAAGTGGTGGTAGTGTTGCTACAGGGATCCAGAAGGTAGAGGTGAGGGATGATGTTCAGCATCATCAGGGCCCTTTTCGTTTTTTTTAAGAGTAATCTTCAAACCAGAGTAATTGTTGGTTCCTTAGTTAGTCCTAGCACTGATTTATCAGGTCAGTGTTGCTATGTAACAAACCACCTCAAATGAAAATAACTATGTTGCTGTTGTGTGCCACTGAGTCAGAAGTGACTCACGGCTTACCTTCCAGTGGGTTTTCAGAGGTAGGCAACTGCCCATCTTTTCTCCTTGGAGCAGATGGTGGATGTACCATCTGCCTGTGGGTTAGCAGGGCAACTCCTCATAGTCTGATGGCTGTGGGGATTTAGGCGGGCTATTCTGGGATCAGTTATGCAGCTGCATTCAGCTGGACAGAGAATGGACTGAAAGATCCAAAGTAGCCTCACTCGTGTCTGTTGGCGCTGGTTGTCATCTGGGTCCCCATTTTCCTCGGTTAGCTTACTCTTATGACCTCACAGCATTTTCCCAAGACAATCCAAAGTGGAAGCTAGGTGGGCTTACTGAGTACTGCACTTGCAATTCAGTGTCACTCCTGACACATTTGGAACTCACAGGTGACACTTCTGTTATGGGTCAAAGTACCAAGCCAGCTCCTATTCAAAAGACAGGGAAGAGACATCATCAGGGAAGCGCAGCAATGTCAAAATGGGTAGAACGGGTGAGGTGAAGGTTAGAAGGGGAGTTTGGGACTGTAGAGTACTGACGTGACCTGAGGGCATAGAACACTTACAGAAGGTACTACACGAGAGGGTAAAGATCTATTGTTTTAGTCCTTATCTTTCTGCCCATAGCATCTAGTACACAGAAATACAAAGGTATTTTTGTGGAACCAGTGAAATGACACTTGCAGATATAATACACCAGGATTTAACTGCTGAAGAGTAATTCAGAAAGTCCAGGACATGATGCAATTTACAACTGCTGAAGCATGAATATGAATCGTTTTGTGGGGCTTAAATGTATTAGGAAAAAATAGTTATTTAATAATGAACTTAGGTGGTTGTGGAACATTTTCATTTCAACACAGTGTCACTGTTCCAAGAAGCATGAAATCTCACCATGCTGCTGTTGTTAGGGGCTGTCAAATACAACTCATAGCAATCCTAATCAAAACCTTGCCCTGTAGGGAGCTCTGGTGGCCTAGTGGCAAGAAGCTGCACTGCAATCCCAGAGGAACACGGTTCGAATCCACCAGATGCTCTGCCAGAGAAGGAGGTGCAATATCCTCCTGTACCAGTCAGATCTGATTTGATGGTACACGCATACAAAATTAAAAAAATAAATAAATAAATAAAAACAAAACAACCTTGCCCTGTATAGCACCATCCTGTCTCTGCCATGTGTGGGCGCACTGCTCCAGTCATTATGTCAGTCCGTATCATTGAGGATCTCCCTCTTTTGCTGTTTTTTTTTATGCACGATGCCTTTTTTTAAAGGACTGGTGCCTCCTGGTAACATGCCCAAGGTGTGAGACGAACTTTCACTACCCTTGCCTCTAAGAAGCACCCCAGCCTCACTTCCTCCAATACAGCTTTGTCTGTTCTTGTTTCATCTTGTTCATATTTGGGAGTCCATGGTTCACTTAATACTCTTAATTTCTAATTCCATGGGGAGTTGCATTGCTACCCCAAAGGCCATGCCTCGAGTGGTTTAGATCTACCACCAGTGTCTTTGAAAGGTGGGCAGTCTCCTCCAGTGCAGTTTACAGCCTTGGAAACCCAACAGAAGACCAGCTGTGAGTCAGCTGTATTGAATAGTCTATGAAGGACACTTACTTTTTATTTTTTTTAATGTGCCATCAAGTTGAAACTGCTAACTGATCCTCCAGCAGGTTTTCAGAGGCTGTCAATCATACAGGAGATTGTCTTTCTCCCAAAGAGGAGCTGGTGGATTTGAACTGTGTGCTTTAGGATTGGCAGTACAACTCCACACTTAACCAGGCCACCAGAGCTCCACCTCAGTATACTATAGTAGTAGCATATGTCAGTATAAATTTGTGAAAATCTTTGTCTCTCTGGATGAGTATTATGTGCCCAAGGTTATATTCCGCAGACTCACAGAAGTTCCACTGTCTTAAGGATGTTCCTAAAAGTGTTTTGAAAGGCTGAGTCATAGCTCTTGGTATGTACTATTGCATAGGCAATCCAACCTCTTTAGTCCCCAGAGATCTGCCTTTCCTTATTATGTGGTCAGAAATGTAAACTCTGAGGTCCCCTGTCAGAGATACCCTGTCAGGCAGAAGTACAGCATGAATACTGGGAAACACTAGTTATCTTCTTTCATTACTACTTGTGATGTGGTGTCAAGTCACTTGTGACTCAGTGACCCTGTGTACAATAGCTCTAAACCCTACTCTATCCTGAGCCAATTCTATTGTCTCCAACACTCTTACCCACATTACCCAGTCTATCATCAATCTATCTCATCCAGGGTCTTCCTCTCTTGCACTGTCCCTTCACCCTTCAAGGGCTGGTCCCTCCTTGCAACATGCCCACAAAATACGAGATGGAGCTTCAAAATTTTTGTGTCTATCCAAAAAGCAGGCTGATTTCATCTTCTCCAGGACAGATTTGTTTGCTCTCTTAACAGTCCATGGTATGTTCAATACTGTTCTATAGCATCACAACTCAAAGGCATCAAATTCTCTCTCATCCTAGGTCATTGTCTGATGCATACCAAGTAACTGCAAAGACCATGGCCTGGACCAGGTGCATTTAATCTCCAGACTGACATCATTGCTCTTCAGTGCTCTGGAGAGGTCCCTGACAGCAGATTTTCCCAATGCAATTTGTCTTTTGATTTCCTGGCTGCTGGTACTAAGAATGTTGATTGTGGAGCTAAGTAAGCAGAAGTTGTTAACAATCTCTCTCTCTTCTACCACAATGCTGCCAATTGACCCTGTGGTGAGAATCTTTGTTTTCTTGATGTTGAACTTCAGTCCATATTAAAGGCTCCAATCCTTGACCTTCTACAGTAAATGCCTCAGGCCCTCTTCATTTTCAGCAATCAAGGTTGTATCATCTGCATAACGCAGGATGTTGATGAATCTTCCTCTAATCCTGATTTCACAATCCTCCTCATAGTCCAGCCTCCTGAATTTGTTCTGCATATCGATTGAAAAGGTATAGAGATAGGATGCATCTCTGGTATACACCTTTCCTGATTTTGATCCATGCAGTGTTTTCTTGCTGTTCTGACGACTGCCTCCTGATCAAGTACAGGTTTTACATAAGCATGATCAAGTGTTCTGGGATTCCCACTCTTCTCAAAGTTAGCCACAGTTTGTTGTGATCCACACAGTCAAATGCCTTTGTATAGTCAATGAAACACAAACATCCTCTGGTACTCTTTGCTTTCAGCCAAGATCCATCTAACATTGGCTATAATTTCCCCAGTGCCATGGCCTCTTCTAAACCTGGTCTTCACATCTGGTGGTTCTCTGTTGATGGGCTGTTCCAGTCATTTTTGGATCATTTTCAGCAGGATCACTTGTTTACATTTGATATTAATGATACTGTTTTATCATTTTCACTGTCGAATCACCTTTTTTTTTTGAATGGGAATAAATACAGATCTCTTCCAGTCAGTTGGTCAAGTAGTTCATTACTATTTACAGTCTTTGATTAAGGGCTCTGCTTACAAGTGAATACAGAACCAAGATAAAGCTTTGGCCCAGTTTATTTTTAACACAAAGTTACACTTAAGACCAAGAGAATCTAGGATATTGTAACCATTTTAAATGTATTTTTATCTTTAGTAATTTAAATTGAGAAATTCTAAGGGTAATCAAATCTCCTGTAGTAGAAAGCAATAGAGTACATTAATCGGAAATGTGGTTTTTAACATGTTTTTAAAAACACTGAGTTTTAACTTTTAGTGCCTTATGTTCTTTTCTTGTTATCTATTATACTTTATGATGTGTCAAATGATTATGCCAAGGAAGGTCATAAATAACAGCATGTTAATATATAAAATACTCAACATATCCATCTATTTCCAGTTACAAGAAAATGTAAGGTATATGGTTGGTATCACTTTGCTTTCCATGTATTACAGGAGGAGGCCTAACAGGAGCTGTGTTTAATCCAGCTTTGGCGCTTTCACTACATTTCAAGTGTTTTGATGAAGCATTCCCTCAGTTTTTTATAGTATATTTTCTGGCTCCTTCTTTAGGTAAGCTGTTTCATTTAATATGTTTGAGAGATTAGGGGAAAAAAGAATGGGAAAAGTAGCTAACTAATATACCTAAAATAACATTGTATTTTTGTGTCATTTCCTTTAAAATGGTTTTTATTTTAAAAGAAACTAAATTATTTAAAGATGGATAGTTTCAGGTATGATATCCCTTGAAGAAATCTTCAAATAGAACGACAGCAAAAGAGTGATTACATCCAAATCTGAATTTTCTCTTTATATAGTTTATTTGACTCGTTTTGGAAGAAATAAACCATGAACTTTTTGGCAAGCAGCCTGGTATGCTATATACTGTGCCACTAACCTCTTTTCATTATTAACACACAGAAGTCAGGATATAAAACACATCACTAACAAGGGATTAGGACATTATTACATAACATGGACCATATCATTACATAATTTCCAGTAAAGTTGACACATATTTTGGAATGGACATAATCAGTCTATGACAGGAATTGTTTGTGTTTTGTCTTTCCAATTTAAAGCCTTTGGTTGCAAAAAAAGATCCCAAAGTCTCTGTAGATCTTCATTGAAATGAAAAATAAACAACCTAAATTAAAAAAAAATAAAAAATAAAAAAATAAAGCAGGAAAAAAAAATGTAGCAGTTTCAAAAAGCTGTGCAAACCCTAAAGGTTTCCGCAGTTGCTAAGTGGGTGTAATAATTTCAAATCTACACATGACAAACCTCATTATTAATCTAACTTTAAACTGGCCTTGAGCTTTAAGCGACATAACAGTGATTTTGAAAATTTTGTAAAACTTGACAGTGGAATTCTTGTGATAGTAACTGAGCCTTTACATCTCCCTCTTCTGTCTATAAATGGTACTTAAACATTAACCAACTAGTTCATGTTAGATTTGTCTGATGTAACATCAAAAATGAAGATTTACTAATATCTGGGCTTATTTTCATTTTTATACTGAAGATTTAAATTTTCAGTATTGGCTGAAATTTTGTTTTCAATATTTTGCTTATAATAAATATTATGCTTGGTTTATCTCTCAAAGCTGAGGTAAATGGAAAAAAATGCAAGAGATGAAATAACCTATTGTTTTTATTTGAGCATTTCAAGTAACTACTGAAGAGTGCTCACTCTCAACGCTCCTCCTTGGGACCCGGAAGGACAGAAAACGTTGCCATTTTAAAGAAGCAACACAGAGATTCAAATTCCTGACTTCTCATTTAGCAAGTAAACATGGATTCAGAACTAAATGATAGAATTTTATTTAGTAAATGAAACAGAATGAATTAATTCTTTAGAACCTACTAATTTTGACAAATATAATCTGGTTTTAAGGATTCAGATGTTAAGAAAAATGTGAGAAAATGAGATTTTAAAATCTGTATTTTGTGTAGTCTTAACAGACAACTCTTTTAAACGTAACTTTCCAACTCTGCAGACATATAATTTATAAAACTTAAAATGATATTCACTGAGTGCTTATGTACTACAATGAAGAGTGTTTTCTTTTTATTTTTACTGTCTTTCAGGTATATTGTTGATGGCTTTGATGTTCAATTTTTTCCTTCCCTGGCTGCACGGCAATCATATAATTAATAAAAGAGAATAATTATCTTAAAAGACTCAGACTAAGTTACACAGCAATCAAGCTGGACACGGTAATGAGTTTATCAACTCATCTTCAATACACTGGCTGCACTGGTTTCTTCAGTGTTGAGCTTTCTTTGAAGAAGCTGCCTTAGAAGTTTTAAAAAAAATTAATGTGCAATTGAGATATCCTGTGTTTCTCAGTTAAAATGTTATCTTTTGAGTGATGTATCAAATGCTGCAGGGAAAGACACATTAAATATAAATATCAAGGACAATTCTTAATGTTCATTTTTAAAAAAAATTAGTACAACGTGAGAAGAAAAAATAACAAAGGGACCATAGAAAGACATCTATCAAGTGCTGCCTGATTGAGCAGGGTTTTAACCAAAGTACAAGCACCAGTTCAGTCATCCTGACTGAACTAGACGGAAGAGATGCTTCAGCCAGCACCTCACACAATGATACTATCAGCAGTGTCATCTTTCAGTAAGAAAGCTTTTGCTGCTTTTGGAAGCAGATTATATATCCACTCTTCTCAAGGGAATTCCTAAACGGAAAATGTTCTAATATTCTCAGTGGACTATCTTTCTAGTAGCAGGAAAGTCACTACTTTTTAAAAATAGTGGAGCACGTCCCTAAAAAGTCAAGTAAGTTTCAACGTTCTCTTCTGACCCTAAGAACTACCATACGCAGCAGACAGAATATGCATTTTTAATCTCACTTTTACAGATAAGGAAACTAAGTCTAGAGAAATGCTCTGCCCTGCCCACGGTCACAAAGAATGAAATGGTACCTTTAGACTTCTAATTTAATCCAAAAATTCTGTATCATCACTATGACTAGAAGAAAATCTGAAGGCTTTGAAGAAACATCAATCTGTTAAAATTTGTGCAGGCAGTAACTAGGTGTTCCTGTTTGTTTTAGAGTCTAAAGAATCCTCTAATTTTCCTCTAATGTTCTATTATTACATAAGGTCTAGTTTTTATTAAAACTTCAGGCCATAAAATGTTAAATGAGTTTCTCTTCAAAACAAATTCCACTGTCAGGGATAAACTGAACTTTTTAAAAAATTGGAGTGTTATATGTGGTCTACTGAGTAAGAATCGATTCATGAACAAGTCATAGGTTGCCAGGTAATTTAAGTGCTGCTCGGTGATCAGCTGGTAGACAGTCACTCTACTTATACCTGTCGACTGAACTGCTGCCACCTCTATCTAACAAGGTATCAAATCAGCCTCCTTGACAATCAGACTCTGAATCTTGGACTTAGAGATATATGTCACTGTCATTTTCTTTAAAACAATAATAAAAAACATTAACAACGCACACCCATGTTTATTGCAGCTTTGTTTACAATAGCAAAGAGTTGGAAGCAGCCTAAGGGCCCATCAACAAACGAATGGATAGAGAAGCTGTGGTATAGCCACACAATGGAATACTACGCAGCATTAAAAAACAAGGAACTCATGCAATATTATTCAAAGTGGATGACCCTGGAGGACATT